GACGTAATACCTATAGCCAATTCCAAGAAGTTTATAAACTTGAAGCTGCACAACGACAAATTGGTAACTCAGATGAATAATGCCAATTCAGGAATCTTTTGTCTCGCTTACGTGATGGAGAATCTATACAATCTGATTGGAAATTATTGATGACACAAATCCCAGAAAAACTGTCAGAACCAGAGCGAAAAAAATTTTCAAATGCTATCAACATTCTTATAACATGGGAAGAAGTCGATAGAATTAATGCTAATAAACTTGGGTCATTAAACCAACCTGTTGCTAGGATTCGAACAATTCATACAGGTGGCACTGAAGCTTAAAAGGCCGATTCAGATACAGCAAAAGGTCTTGAACCTGAAATATTGTTAGCCAGAAATGCACGTGTAATGCTTACCTCAAATCTTTGGGTCTTGTGAATGACGTAATGAGAACAATAACAGATATATTATACAAAGAGAAACCTGAGCACACATTTTTACCAACTGCTATTTTAGTTTCTTTTGACCAATATTATGGCCCAACTCTTACAAACATAGATGAAATTCCGGTTATACCTATTGTTCCTATACGACGCACATGGAAAGGCAAATCTGGCATTTGCTCTCGACTACAACTTCCACTTTCTCTTTCGTGAGTCATTACAGCTCACAAATCGCAAGGTTTAACTTTACCGAAAGCAGTTATAGATCTTGGCAAGAGGGAATTCGCTGCTGATTTGTCATTTGTAGCAATTTCCCACATTCGTTCTCTCAATGATATTATTTTCAAGCAGTTTGATTTTAGTAGAATTGAGCGTATAAAAACTGTAAAAGGTTAAAAAAATGAATTGCAGAAGAAAAAAGACTAGCCGAAATAGAAAAGATCTAAATTTCTTGCAAAAAAATTTTTTGCTTTTCGTTATTTGGCGAAAGGTTACGTGATCTACAATTATATTACGCAATTTACACTAGTGTTATGCGACTTTAACATAAGTGTTACACAATCTTGTATATTTTTGCTTTTAGTACAAGGGATTGTTTTATTTTTTTATTTTTATTTTTAGTTTATTTTTAGTTTATTTTACATAATCATGATGTATTTTCAAAAAAGGAAAATAAAAAACGGGAGTTAAAACAAATTTTGTTAAGTCATCACAGTAAATAATCCTTCACTAACGCTCTGGACAATAATTTTATGTTCACTTTGTATTATTTTTATATTAATAGTTTTAAAACAATTTATTAAAAATAATTTCTTTTATTAATTTTCTTTTCAATACAAAAGTCCTTTAAATGTTTATTTTACATATAAATAGTAGAAACAGATAATTAAGATAATTGTAGATGTTAGTGTCTCTCATATCAACTTTTAAAGTTAATACTTACATATACAATGTGCAATGATATAAAAAATCATGCTTCATTTGTTTGAGGTATCATTTACTCTTTCACAATTTTACCATCTTTCAAACATGTATACATTTGTACATCATCAAATTTTTCATTATGCCAAAAATGGACAACATTGAGTCCTTGAATTTTCTATTCTTCAGATTGATACATAGGATTCTCTGCCTTACAATATCTATTCTCACAGGTGAAGTGCACAATCCAAATTGCAGTAGCAGTTAGGTTGTTACCATAGGACAAAGCATGATTAAAATGTTCTTCTAGATTTGATTGATTAGCTGTAGTCACAAGCTCTAATACAATGTTTTCTTCATTACCATTGATTACAATGTCAATATAACGATGCACATAATCTCCATCCTTACTAACTTCTGTCAAGTGTCATTGTTCAGTAACAGTGTATAAAACAAGCCAGTTTCTCAAAATCCTTATTAATTCCTAATCATAGGTACTTTCCCTAGGAATTTTCTTTTCACTTTTACTATTAACAGGTATAGTTGCTTTCTTGAAACAACATAAAGGTACCAGACGAATGAGATCCATATCAAAGAAAGTAACAACTACTTGAAGCATCTTAAGGATATCAAGTTTCTGATATCTATCAAGAGGAATCACTTCGAGATGCATGTGAAAATAATTCTAAAAGAATATCCATTTTGATGTATGTACCAACAAGAGGGGATGATAATCTGACCATGTTTAAGGAACTATTAGCAGATGTCAAGACACCTTCTGCTGCTAAGAATTCTATCAAATGATTATGCTAATCAGGAACTTCTGTGAATTCTACAACATCAAGAAGGTATTGGCGAAGAAACTTTACAGCTTTCATAGAATAAGGTTCTTTGAGTTTATTAATCATTTTATAAAATGTTCGGTATCTCCTTATCTCTTGTAGCAATGTTTTAAGTTTAAATTTTTGCCAATGTTGGTAAGTAATACATTGTCTTCCATTAAAATCTTTTGGTGGTAATTTTTTATTAATAGCACGCCTACAAAGGTAAGTAAAGCCTGCATGACTTTGATAAAATCAATAAGAGTGGTTAGTTTTTTTTGGTACACATTATAAAAAGTATTATAAAGAATCATACCTACCTATTTGTTAAAGCATAGATGTCTGTGATCACCAGAGGGTCAATGACAATAACTCTATCACTCATAAACTCTTCAAATAAAGCTTTAACTTATTTAAATAGCAAATCTGGATTCTGGTATTTCTCTGTAATGTTGAAAGGAGACACATGGGAATTACTTGTGTTCAAATAAAGTATACTTAATGTCCTAATGGCAACCACAGAATAGATGGGTTGATTTTGTTGCTATTTAAGAGAGTGTAATGATCCTAAAAAGCTGTCTTTGATTGTTTTACTAATTGAATACAGTGTATCAAATTCATCAATGAATAAAACTACAAGTTCAGACCATTTTTCAAAAAGACTTAGAAATTCATCCCAAGTTTGTGAAGAATTGGACAATCCAGCAGTTCTCCTGTTTGTCTTTAGCAACTGGCTAATAAAAGTTTTCCAGAAAGAAACTGATTTTAAGTTATCAATCTCATAAGTCAATCTCTCGAAACTTGCACTATTGTCAAATAATATTACAATTATAATAAGCAAAAGGTAATATTTTAGAAATATAAATAAAACATAGATCAATGAACTTACTATAAGCAGAAATAACCTTTCTCATTCAGCTGTTTTATAGTTCGAAATATACAAGATGATTTACCTGAAGTACGTACACCATGTATCATTAAAAAAGAACCTTCAATAATTTTCTTGAGAAGTGATGAATTCCATTCAGCAGGATCAGCAAAGTATTGCATTTTTCTCTCTATTGCTGTTACTGCACTATTTGCCTTCCATCTTTTTGAAATCTGAAAATATGTAGAAATGTAAAAAATATAGAAAAAGAGAACAAAACATTTCAAATAAAGTTAGCATGATTTGTATCTGGAACTCTTCAAATTCAACTTTTCGTTTCCCTTCATGAATTTCAGTATACAACAAGAAATTGAAAAGCACAAGTCAGTTAAAGTTGTAAATGATAATTCAAATATTCCACAGACAAACGTATAAATAAATAAATGAAATAGAATGAACGAAAAATAAATTTTTTTTTTTACGCAATTTGTTCGTTACCTTTTTTTTCATCAAACTCACATAACGCCTTCCTCCACTCCTTCACTTGCTCCTCCAAACCATCTTTCTCCTTTTTCAATTCTTCTTTTCCTTCTTCTAGTATTTCCTTTTCTACTGTTCATATTGCCTTTTCATCATCATCACTGTATTTCCTTCCTGCTAACAATATCCTCAACTCGTTTAATCTCTTTTGATTGCTCCCCTCTTCCCACCCTACTAACCTCTTCTTTGCTTCACCATATTTTCTTTCTGATTTCTCCAATTGTTGTTTAATAAATTCGAAAGTTGTCATTTTTTAAAATTTAAAAATTTAAAAAAAAATTTTTTTATTGATTTAGATCAATCGTAATTGTTATAATTTATACATGATTTTGACTAATGATAAAATAGTGAGCACATGACTTGGAATTTATTTACGAACAACAAAGAGAAAACTATTTTATTTTTATTTGACTAATAATAGAAAAATAAATAATTTATAAAAATATAAATTAAAGAATTGTCAGAGCACTTGTATAAGGGAAAATACTCAGACCTAAAGCCATTTATAAGTATTACCTATTTTTTAGACACATTCAACTTTTGCAATTACTACTATTATTATCAATAATATTATTACTAATATTTATATCATCATCATTTTTATTATCTTCTTCGGCTTCATTTTCTATCTCTTTCTTCGTTTCTTTGTCAATTCACTGTTGAATTGCTTCTATTGTCTTCCTTTTAGGATTTATTTTTTGTTAGTAGAAATTTTTAATAGTAGAGGTGGCAACTCCTTTATCTCCAAATAATTTACGAATTTCAATGGCCATTTCGTTAAATAAAAAATTGGAATCCTTTTATCAAATAATTGTTTGAATCCTTTCATAGATTTTTGATTTCGTGTGGATATTTTTTATCACTAGTATATTTGTTTGTTTTATGTCTCTTTCTTGGTTCTATTCTATCGATTATTTGATCAATTTTTTGATTTATATTAGAGAACTGATTTTGATAATTTTTATAGTGAAGCAAGAAACTAAGAAAAAGTCCAATTAACAATCCGCAAAAAAAATTCACTATTGAAAGTGTGCATTTTTTAAAATGTTATTATGAATGAAAATATTGCGTAAATATTTATTGATTATTTGATTGTTTTAAAATAAAATTGTAATTATTTGTTATTTGAGAAAAACAAGATTTATAAAACATATTTTTTGAATGATCATAATTACTTTGCATAAAGAAGAATTTTTCTTTTAATAATAATCAGTAAAAAAAAATAAATAAATCAATATTGTAATAAGATTTATTTGCCTTCTTCCAAAGATTTCTGCTTTTTGTTGATAATAATACATCTTCATTTTGCTTTCTTTTCCTAATGTTTATTATTTTTCTTTCTTGGTAAATTTCATAAGTAATCTTTTCTTTTTTTAGATAAGCTTCCAATGCCTGAGTATCATTTATTTTGAAAATATAAGGTGCAATTTTTTCACCTTATTCTTTTTTGAAAATACTTCTAATGATGTGTAGATCTGATGTAAATTAATTTCATATTTATTTTTTTACATAGAAATAGTTCTATATACTGCTTAAGAAAAAGAACAAACAGATGGGAAATTTTAATAATCACATTACTAAACTTTGATCCCTGAAATTCTTGGTAATACCAATGTTCACTTTGTCTGATTTTGTTGCAGCATGCCTCATTTAGGATTGAATAAAGCTTTTAACTTAATTATTTTATTAATTTTGTAGGTGGGTTTAAAAATTCAAATTGTATAAAAGATAATATTATCTATAAAAATTATTTAATAATTATTTATAAGTGAATTTATATGTATTAGATAGGATGCATACAAAAAAATATATGCATTATCATTAATTTTTAATAAATTTATTAATTTTTATACTATATATAAAAGTAATAAAGCTCTAAAATTTCATATATAATTTATGCTTGCTCATTTACTATAAATTCAATTCATTTCTGATTTACTTTTTTAAATTTTTTTTTTAAATGAATTTAATAAATAAATATTATATTATAATAATTTTTAATTTTGTAATTAATCGATAAAAAAAACTAAGGTTACTTATAAACTAAAAATGTTATTATTAAGTTTTGATAATATTATCAAAATTTATTATAATCATAATACATATTATAAACTTTATCATAAAGAAAATTTTTCATTATTACAATTTTATAATTTATTAGTAATAAAATAAGGGTATTTTTACACATCTGCACAAAATGCAGAGATGCAAATTTGATAATAGTTATAGTAATATGGAACGTTTTCTAGAAAAATCAGGCTCTGAGAATTTTCTTGACTATAATTAAGACCTTATTACATTTTAATATAATAACATCAAAAACTAAAATGCGATAAAATCAAAATTTTGTTAAAAAAATTCCCAGAGCCCGATTTTCCTAGCAATCTTCCCATATGTTAAAAATATCTAATCAGTTGATTCTAATCAAACCAGTTTATAGATTACTTTCATTAATCAGTACTCTTTATCTGTTCATTTATTGATTTGAATGGCATTTATCAAAATCATTAGATACTTATAATAAGCTTTACTTTTTGACCTCAATGGATTTTTGATTTATTAATAAGGTTCAAAAAGCATTGTTTTATTTATAAATAAAAATAAATGAAAGATCTATACGCACAATTTATACAAAATATATATATATTTTTTTTTTATACAAAACTAATTAAAAAAGAAAAAAAAAATTATATTAATTAGAATAGGAAAGACTTTACAGGTTTTATTTAGAATATTCGATTTTGTCCTTAATTTGGAAAGGTAAAAATTTATAATTAGAAATTAGAAAAATATAAATGAGCAAATATGATAATATCTAAAAACACGCACGTATTGTTCGGTCGGGTCAACTGACCACCATGGTTTTTTATATTTGTCAGGGCATGGGCGAATTCTGATATCTTTTCCATCTAAAAAAATATTCATAAATCCCTTTAGGTGGGGGAAAAAAGGAAAATCCAACATGGAAAAATTTCAAAAGGGACAACTTACACCAATCAAACCGAGGGATTTTCTTTGAATGAGAATTTTTCTTGGACATTTTCGCACCAATCTTCTTTACACCATCCATTTCAATGAAATAAAAGCATTTTTTAAAAGAAGGCTTGAATTTTTTACTTTCAAGGCAACTAACAACGAAAGGGGATACGATGATCTCGTCATCCGCTTGGCAAGAAGTATCAAAATTTTCATCATTATAAACAAGGTTTTCTTCACTTTTGTCAACATCATTTATTAAATCGTTGTCAAATAGATCACATGATACGCATTCATCTCCTTTTGAAATCATCGAAATGATAATTAACTTTGTGTTTCAAAATCAAAGAAATAAAAAATAGATAAAAAGATAAAATACCTTGTTGATCATCTTTAAAATAAAATTCATTATGCTCCGAAACCTTATAACCGGCAACGTCATCATGGATTTCATACTTATATACAATTCTAATCATGTCATTACATTTTGACTAGGAAAAAAAAAACGAAATCATGTTTTAGTAATTTTGCAAATGATGATAACGATAGCAATCAAATGTATAAAATAATTACAAAATTACAAAACATCGTCGAATTCCAACATGATGATGATCTTATATACAATTCGACTAAAGAGTAAATGGTTGAACAAATCATAAATGCTATAGTGGTACCAGCCATAGTTCCAGTTTATCTGTTCAAAATTTACTTTTAATTGTTTGCAGTCATAAGAAAAAGGAACAAATTTTAAGATTGTGAAATTAAAAATGAAAAAAAAAAAATTTTTTTTGCTTCTTATTTATAGTTATGGAAATATAAAAGTTTCATGACCTTTTTTTTACAGCATTTCTGACGAATGAAGACAATTTGATGCTGGCTTTTTTTTTTTTTCTTGCAGATCGTCATATGATAATATGTTCTTTTTAGATTGGATTTACATAATTTGATCCGCAGCAAAAGTTGATCCATTAAATTCTTGTCTAGAAACAAGAGAATATTTTGGGGTCATCAACAGAAACAATGAACGTTTTAAGGGTCCATTCCAAAAATGGAAATAAAATCGACATTATAGTTTGATAACCAATGAGAATTTTTTTAACAATACCACCAAATCTGTAAGTTTTGGGCTGATTAACGTAAAACATGTTTGAAATCCGAACTGGTGATCATTTTAAGTAAATATTCACACGATTCAAATGAAACCAGTTTACTTACTTTTATTATCCTAGATCAGGCGAGCTTAAAATTGTTGATGATTGTACTGATTATTGTTCAAAGAATTTCAGCCAAATAAATAATAGACACATTCTAAGAATAAGGAGGGAAAGTTTTCTTTTTTTTTGGTTTTTGGTCGAGTTTTAATCAATAACACATGGCATTTTTCCAAATTGTCTAGTTATTATTTTGTTAGGATTGAACTGAATTTTTGGTTCATTTATAAAAATAGCATTGGTTATAAGGTTTATGAAATCTAGGAGTTCAGAATATTTCTTTAGTCATTTCTTATATACGAAAACTTCTTGGATAGATACAGTAAAATGTGTAATGTGAAATGAATGGACTTTCGTAAGGCGATGAAACATGATATTGCTATAGCCAAAGTTTTGTTGAGTACAATATGTTTAGTTTATGATATAAGAAAGAAAAAAATGATCTTGGGATATCGTGGATTACTGTCTCTAGAAATATATCCCTGTAAGGGATTCTGAGGGAGTATAGAATTAATCGTATGATGTAGAAAAATTTTCACATAATGATTGTAATGGCCTAGATTTGATGTTTACATATTGGCATTTATGGTTTTGTTGGGAAGTTTCTATTTGGTCCTAATCTATATCGGATTCGTCTTTTGAGCTGTGTTTCTTTAAAACGTATATCACGTAGTTTATTTTCAAGATTTTTGAGAGTTGATTGAGTATCTTTCGGTAATGACCGCTATCAAATACTAGCCTGAATGATTGTCATGATGGTCAGTTTATTAATAAAGTCACTCAGCCAAGAAAAAAAATTTATACGAAATCCTGTAGAAATCAGATAGAGAGACCAGGGAGAGCCAAAAATCGAGAGAATTTTTTTCAGGGTCAGTTTTTTTCAGAGTCAGAAAGTTCAAAGTCCAGTAATTAGGAAATTCGATAAAAAAAAAAAAGAGAAAAAAAAAAACTAATAATCTGCATTTGGCGTAATGATCATGCAAAGGCCCCCCAAGAGGAATAAACTTTACTCATACAATTGTAGATTAAAAGATTGTAAATTTTAATAGAACTAATAATTATATTAAAATGTTCATTCAGGCAGAGATTCTAAAAAATTACTATTCTGCAAGATTTGTTTCGTATCATAGAATTCTTCGGGTATAGTGATATTAATCCTATAATAATCCATCTTTGCAACATCATTGTTATGTTTCTCAACTATCCAACCTAAATCCGTGCCAAGTTCTTTTTTAAGAGAATTACCAATTTCTTTATGGAACCTTTCTAAAATAAAATACCCTACATTACAAAAAGGTCTAATATATCTGACGAATGGAGCCAACTTTTCATATTCATCCCAATAAGTCTCATAATCTTTTGGTACTATACGATGAATTGAAAATGGGATTGCAATTTCAAAGCATTCCATGGCTTCATTAATACATTCTATTAAAGCATTTACAAATGCATCTACTTTTTTCGCCGACGCATTTTGTGCTCTTTGTGATAACGTTAAATTTACTTGTTGGGTATGCAGGAAGTTGGGAAGTTGAAAGAAATCGATTTCTACATAAATTTCCTCTTTAGAATATTTATTATCTTTAGAAGGGGGAAATTGAATTTTCCCTGTACGATAAAACTGTAAAATATACCTAAATAATTTCCCATCTCTATCTATAAAATATTCATTATCATTTGTTGGGCGTAATAATTCCCTATTCCTGTCCGCAAACATTGTGCCTAAATATGTTTCGGGATAAGCTATCAACGTTGAACGAAATGTTTCATATTTTATCCCCCCTACGTTTAATATAATTCGTTCTTGGAAAGCGTTCGTCTTCGTTTCAGTTGACATGATTATTTTGAATTCAAAGTTTCAAGTTGATTTTATTTATTTGATTTGAATAAAAATTTTTTTCATTGTACAATAAAAAGATACTTGTACAAATATATAAATTTATTAATGATATTAGGTAAGCTTTCTGCGCCGACTGCGCCAATCAGTTACAATTATTTACTAAAAAAATGCAAAGAAACGAAAGTTATGTATGAGTGCGCGAGATGATGGTGGTGGTGAAATAACTGGCACGCTTCTTTTTCTCCCTTCCTTTTTTTTTTTTCCTACACTTGCTTATCAACAAATTTTTTTAAGGTTTTAGTTCTTGAACCTTCGATAATTTTTCCAAAGAACAATCCTAATCAGACAAACCAAAAGATTGGCCGAATTGTGGCTTAGATAATATTATGCATATATGCTGTCAATCTGCACCAAAGAAAATAAGATTCTATGCGCGATGCATGCATGTATTAGTGTTTGTATCCGGATAGTATCCGGATAAAAAGGATCCGTTATATTAAGAATTTTCGTATCCGGTTACCCGATAAAATTTTTTTTATTAACCCGGATATTCATCCGGATTAATCCGTTATCTTTGCGTTAAGTATCCAGATCAATAAAACATTTAAACATTTATATAAAAAAATCGTTTATAAAATATTAAAGCCAAAAATTTCAAAACCTTT